GGTGCGGCACCCGGAACAGCTGCACCCGGAACCTGAGCTGGCATACCTGGTGGTGGATAGGCATAGGGTGGCGGTGGTGGTGTCGATTCTGGCATGAATTTCGCTGAAAAAAGGTAATCGCACAAATTATTTCGGAGATTACATTATACGAGAATATATTATTAAGAAAAAAAGAAAAGAAAAAAAAAAAAAAAGAAAAGAAAAGAAAAGAAAAAGGAAAATTGGAAATTGTAGTGTAAAAATGTTATTTTTCGATTTGTGTATTCTTTTATAAGATATTTTTTATATAAGATGATATACATGTAAGATGTATCGGAAGAAAAATTGGTTAGACAGATGGATATGTGAACAGATTCTTTCTTACGTTAAATTGGAAAAAAGTATCGAGCGAAGAATTTCTTGTTTCGTTCTGTGAAGATGAAATGAGTATTTTATTTTTGAAAAGCCCGATAGAGCAAGATATTAAAGTTGATGTCTAATTTCTTTGAATAATTACATAGAAATGTGAGCAAAATAAGAATTATGTATCTGTCTGTTTAGTGACAATTGATGAACGTGTTAGAAATACATATATATATATATATTTTAAATAAGAAAGGAAGGAAAAACGCGAACCAATATATTTTTACGACTGAAACATTCCAAATTGATTAAATTATGACGATTGTCTTTGATAAAAAGAGAGATATACAAGAATAGAAAATAAAATGGAGAAGATATATTCAATATTCTTACCTCCTATTGGAATTAAATAGATACTAGATTTTAAAAGAATCCTTCTCTTCATGGTTACGATGAGAAATTTTTTGTTCGATCGAAAACTTCAATCGAAAATCGTCGACTATTTCTGGCTACGACCGTGATCGAGATTCGACATTTCTCTTCTGTAATTTTTTCTCAAAATGGAAAGAGAGAGATAGAGAGAGAGAGAGAGGGAAACAATAAAAGAAAGAAAAACCTAACACGATCGTAGCCAAAATAGAGTCGTATAAAAAATGTCCACTTCTTTTTCGTTCCTTGCTTTCTACTAGCTGTCTGTTTTTTTTTTCTGACTACGCACTATAATTTTTATTCGATACTGTACAATGTTGAAAGCAGCATAATCATCATGATCATCATAATCGTCGTTAATAATTAACACGCCAACGTTCAAAACGTATCGCATGACCGTACAGTTATGCGTTTTATAATTTTTTTTTTTTTCTATTCTTTTTTTCTTCTTCTTTTAAACACAATTTGATCATTTAAACGCTATGATTTCGGGTCGTGATTCCAATAAGAATCCCGTTTTTTTCCTCCCAACGATCAACAATGCTCCCTATTCCGTGTTTCAACAACTTCCCTTGGTCCCTTTCTTCGCGTAATTTTCAACGAATCATTAGAAAACAAAAAAAAAAAAAAAAAAAAAAA